AGCCGAAACGCGGAGACCGACCCGCTTACGTAGCAGGCAAAAGTGCGGCGCGAAGCGCCGCACTTTTGCCTGCGAAGTAATGCGTTAAAAAAGGGACAGGTGCGAGGTCCAGGAATTGAATCGTGGACCTGGCGATTGGTGTATGGTATGGCTATGTGGCTATGTGGCTATGTGGCTGTTAGTCACGGGGATGGTCACGGGATTGTTACGTGATAATACTGGCGCATTACGTAAACTCAGGGCTATTGTGCAATCCAGCGGGGTTGCCTCTTGTATCGGATTGTCACTTTTCTGTTTCGATCAAGGTTACACTCGGGTGTCTGACCGAGTTGTTATTGTTATTGTTGTTGTTGTTGTTCTATTTAACGTTTAAGCGAACAGAGCGTAAGCTTTGTTTTGCAACCTTTTTAGGGGTATAAGACGTGGCAAGCTTTAATCTATATAATATTGTTAATATTAATAATAGTATTAATGATATATGGTAATTATGATATTAAATTTTGTTTTTAAAGGCTTAATATTTTTTAATTAACGATTATTATTTGTTAATTAGTTTAATTTTAAATTTATTAATTTTATAAATTTTAATTAAAAAGTTGGTTTAATAATTAGTATTAAGGTTTTATTTTTTATGGTTTTTTTATATTAGTTTTTTATTTGATTTTTTGGGTTTAATTTTTATTTCTTTTTTAAAAGGTTAATATTTTAGGTTTTTAATATATTTTTATATTTTTTTTTTTTTTTATATATATATATATTTTTTTTTTAAACTTTTATATAAAGGAAATTTATTTAAATATATATTTTTTTTAAATTAACTTTTTAAAGGTTATAATCTTTAATTTTTTTTCGTTTTTTTTATTTTTTAAGGTTTTTTAAGTTTTTTATATTTTTGCATTTTTTTGTAAATAATATTATTTTTTTTTTCCGCAAACGGCAAATATATTTTATTAAAAAAGTTAATGGTTTTATAAAATTTTTAAAATTTTAATAAATATTATATCAATTATTATTAATAGCTTATTTTATTTATTATATATTTTAATTTTATTTTATAAAATTTTATAAATTAATTTTTTTTACTTTATTTTAATTTATTTAAACAGTTATCCGATTTTAATAATTTAAGCTATTTATTTAAAAAAGTTTTTATTTTTTTATATTATATTATATATTTTAAACTTTTTTTTTTTTTTTTTTTAAAAAGTAATATATAAATATAATATATTTTTATTTTTTTATAATTAAATTTATTATAATACTATTTATAATTTCCATATATTAAAATAATATTAAAATATTACTTTAACATTTTTTTTAATAATTATAATACTTACGGTTTTTTTTTAAACTTATAATTAACTTTTATTATTTTAAATTTATTAAATATATTAACTTTTTTTTATTATTTATTAATTATATTTTATATTTATTTCCTAATTTTTAATTTAATATTTATAGTTATAAATTTTAATATTAAATTTAAAAAACTTTTTTTTACTTTTTTTTTTATTAATTTATTTATTTTTTTATTATTTTTTATATTGTAATATTCGAAGTATTATTTTAATAATATATTTTGTTTATTTATTAATTAATATATTATTATAAATATTTTTTATAAAATTAATAAAGCATTTTTTTAAACATTTTAAATAACCGTTATATTATTTACGTATAAAGTTATTTTTAATTTAAAAAATAATTTTATTACTTTTTTTAATTTTTTAAAAACTTTTAACGTTTTAATATTAAATATTATTCCGTATAAATTTATACCTTTTTTTTCTTTAATAATTTTATTTAATCCCTTATATATTATAAAACCGTAACTAAAATCCTTTTTATTTTATAATTTATTTAAAAACACCGTAACATTTTATAAAACCTTTTTTTAAAATCATTTTTAAAACTTTTTTACTGTTGTTTTTTTATTTTTACCTTTAATGAACAAGGGCCGTGTATCAGATGACTTATCTGATCAAATGATCAGATGACCTTATCTAGTCATGTGACCTTATCTTATCAAGATCCTAGTATAAGTACCCCTTATGGTCGCACACACCCATTTTACATAGCTTTAACCACATCGAATACAAGTCATTCCTTTCATCTATAGCATCACCTAAGACCATGGTATTAGATTCAATATAAGGGTCTAATCCAGGTCCAAGGCTGATAGCCTTGTTCAATGGCGACCACCCAGCGACTCGAAACCACAACCTCAATCTTAGGATGGACCGTTATCATCGTCGAAAAATGCCTCATCGTGGCCTGATCAGGTAGCCACGTAGTCAGGTAGCCACCTAAACAGTCAACATCATAGCTCTTAATACCAGTCAATACGGTTTGATATAGCCTCATCGACAGCCTCATCGACAGCCTTGTCAGGCACGTTACTTATTGATCAGGAAGATCCCGTCATTCCTATCAGCCGAAGTCAAGATATACGAAGTACGATACGATTTAAGAAGCATCATTTTACAGTTTATCAGGACAGTTATAAGGACAGTTATTAGGACAATAGTACGTGAGGGCCATGGCGCATCTCAGCTAGTCAGATACTAGGAGATAAAAGGGACCTTATTAAATGCGTATAAAAGATTACGGGGATAAGGTCGGCGAGATACTGGCAGTTACCACATCAGGATTATCAGGACATTCAGGACAGTTTTTTATATGATGCTTTTTGGGTTATATTATATCCAGTATACGAGACGACGACGACGATCAGTTACAGGAAGTCAACTATAAGGGAGGCAATAGCCAGGTCAATAAGTCAGTCTATTACAAGGGAGGCAAAAGCATCAGCCAATACGGAGGCCTATTCAAGTCCAGATCAAGATACCAAGGGAGGCAAATAGCCCAGTTACGAAGGCTATTACGATACGAGAGAGAGAGGGAGGGAGAGAGAGAGAGAGATCGTGCCAGAGGCATCTCTTTCAGGTCAATTCAGGTCAATTCGAATCGAGTCAAGTCAAGTCAAGTCTATCGCTAGGGAGGCAAGGCCAGCCACATCACGATCTTTATAGCCTACGATCTTTATACCCTGCACGTTCATTACATATTCAATTCGTCAGCAAGCATCACGATCGGTCCCGTTACTATACGAGATTGTATGGCCAAAAGACGAGATTCAATGACCTAAGATACCCCAGGGATGACTGATCAGATCCTGGCAAGTCATTTGAATTACACGGCATACGATTCGAGGCTGAGGATTAAGATAGATTGCTACTGCGAAAGGCCTGATCTATTGCGAAAGACCTGATCTACTGCCTAGCAGTGCAATTTTTCTTTTTTCGAGGTCTAGGATTCGATCCCCAGTTGTGTTGTTTTTGTTGTTTTTTTTTTAGCCCTTGTTTTGTGGGTTGAATTTAATCTCGTGGCCTCAATTAAATTCAAAGGGAGGGTTGAACAAGGGCCGTGTATCAGATGACTTATCTGATCAAATGATCAGATGACCTTATCTAGTCATGTGACCTTATCTTATCAAGATCCTAGTATAAGTACCCCTTATGGTCGCACACACCCATTTTACATAGCTTTAACCACATCGAATACAAGTCATTCCTTTCATTTATAACATCACCTAAAACCATGGTATTAGATTTAATATAAGGGTTTAATCTAGGTTTAAAGTTAATAGCTTTGTTTATTAATAAAGTTTTTCCCTAACTTTATTTTAAAACATAATATATATAACATTTACTATTAAACTTTTAACAATATTTTAATTATTAATTAAAAATTTATACATATTATTTATATTTATTTTACCTTTTTTTTTTTAAAATTTTTTTTAAACATTATCTTTAATATTAAAAAATAATTTTCATATACTATCCGTAATTTATAAACATACCTTTATTTTATTATTTTTAATATTATTTTTATTATAACAATACTTATAATTACAAATAACGCATTTTTTAAAAAAAAATTTTATATTAACAAAACTTTTTTAATCGTTTTAAAAAATACTTTTTATATTAATATTAAATAACCCTTTAATTAAATATTTACAAGTTTTATATAAAAATTAATTATTTTTTTTAATAATTTTTTTTAACTTTTATATTATATTTTAATACCATATAATATTATTAAAAATAATATTATATAAATTATTTTATATAACCCGTTTATTAAAAATCTTTTAACAATTACCGTAAAATTTTTAATATAATTAATTATTTTTATAACTTTAATAACTTTAATTTTTACGTATTTTTTATATTTTAATTTTTTATTTAAATAAACCTTTAATTATTATATAATTAAAAAAACTTTTATTACTTTAAACTTTAACAATAAAATTAGTTTAACCTTTATCTTTCCTTTAAATTTAATCAAAAAATTACTTTTATTTTTTTTTTTTATAAAATATATTACCTTTATTTTTTCCGAAATAAATATTATTATTTTTTTTTTTTATATCGTAATATTTTATTTACTTTTTTTTTAACCACTTTAATATTTTTTTTTAACATTTTTCCAAAAATTAATATTATAATATTATTAATATATCTTTATTTACATTTATTACCTTTTAATAATTTATTAAAATATAATATATATAACATAAAAAATAATAGTAAATTTTATAAAATTTTGCATTTTACTTTTTTAACCTTTATAATAATTCCTTTTAAATAAATAATAATTTTTTTATTTATAAGAAAATTTTTTATAAAATATAAAATTTATTTTAATTAATTTTATATAATTATTTAAATTAATAATTTATTTTATAATATAGCATTAAATATTTTTTATACGTTTAAAATAATTAATATAACCTTTTTTTTATTTATTAAAATTAATTTAACATTATAAATAAAATTAATTATTAAATTTATAATAAATTTTTTAAATATTACCCCGGCATATTATAAATTAATTATTTTATATTTTAAAACTATTTAAATTATTTTTTTAATTATAATTTTTTTTAATCTTTTTTTTAAATATAATAATAATATTATAAACCTTTAAACTTTATAAGTAATAAAATCCATTTTTTTTATTTTTAATATTATTATTACTTTCGCTTTTTTTTAAACATTAAAATATACCTTTATTTTTAAACATTTTTTAAATAAACTTATATAATATTTTACAAATATTAACTACGTTATTTTTAAATATTTAACCGTTATAACGTTTATATTTAAAAAAGTTAAAAAAACTTTTATTACATATTTTTTAACCTTTTTTACTATAACTTTAATATTTTAAAACAAATAATTTTTTTAATTAATTAACTTTTTATTTTATAAATCATTTTTTAAATTAAATTTAAATAAAATAATATTTATTAAATATTTAACTTTTTTTTTAATATTTTTTATTACTTTATTTTTGGTTATAAAAGATAAAACTTTAACTTTTTAATTTAATTTATACTAATTTATAACTTTTATAAAATTTTTATCGTTTTTATATTTATTTTTTATTTTATTCCAAAAATCTTTTTAAGCCTTTTTACATATCGTTAAAAAATCTTTTTTAATAAAGTTAAATAATTTTATTTTTTTTATTTTTTCTTATTTTTTCTTTATTATATAACATTTTTTTAACCATTAAAACGTTAATTTCCTTTTAATATAATAAAACTTTTTTATAACTTTAATATAATTATTAATTAATTTTAATAAATATTTAACTATATTATTAACTTTATTTATAATATTTGTTATAAAAATATTTGGTAAAATATATAATTTAATTTTTATTAAATTAATTAAACGTATTAATTTATTTTTAAATATTTTTTAAATTTTAATTTTTTTTAAAAATAATTTTATTCCTTTATTTTATAATATTATTTTTAAAGGTAAATAGTTTAATTTATATTTTAATTTTTTTATTATTTAATTTTTAATAAAAAATATGTTAAAAAAAATAAGTTTAATACGTAATTATTTTTATAAATAATTATATTTAATTAATTTATAAAATATATACTTATCTTAATTAATTAATCTATTAATTTACGTTTTTCATTTTTTATATTTATATTTAATTCCTATTTTAAATAATATATATTAACGTTATTTATTATTAAATAATTTTTTAAAGGTTTAAATAATTTTTTAAAAGTTTAAAAACTATAAAATAATTTAATATTAATTCGGTTTTTAATTATTTATAATAATTTAAATATAAATATTTGTTAATATTTAACCATATAAAATCTTTATAATATATTTTTTAATAATATTTTATTAATAATCGTAAGTTTTTTTTAACATATATTATAATTTTAAACCTATTCTTTTTTTTTATATTTTAAAAATTTATAAAAAGATATTTATTATATTTTAAATGTTTTAATATAATATTATTTTAATATTTAAATATTTACGGTTTAATAATTATAATTATATTTATATTTTTATTTTAATATTATTATAAAAATATTTTATATATATATAAATTTTTATTAATATTATAAATTATTATATTAATTATTTTAAATTTTAAAGGTTTATAATAAATTTATTTTTTAATTAAAATTATATTACAGTTTTAAATAAACCTTGCGTTTTAAGTTTAAACGTTTTAAACGTTTTTTTATTAATTATTTTATTAAATAATTTTTTAACTTTTTAATTATTTTAATAAATTTTATTTTTATAATTTTAAATTAAGCTATTTTTATTAAAATATTTAAATTTAATATAAATACCAGTATATAAATTATTAATTTTTTAATAAATTTTATTATTTTAAGTTTTATTATTTTTTTATTTTTTATAATAATAGTTTTAAAATTAATTATATTAATTATTATTTTATTTAAAAGTTTTTTTACAAACGTTTAAAATACTTTTTTTTTATTAATAATACTTTATTATTTAATTTATTTTAAAAGATTTTTATTAAAAAATAATATTAATATTATAATTTTTATAAAGAAATTTTTTACTATATATTTTTAATTATTTATTTTTTTAATAGTTTTTAATTTAATTTAGTTTAAAAATATTATTTAACCATATATTTTTTAAAATTTATATAAATAATTTTTATAATTTATTAAATAAAACCTATAATAATTAATATATTTAACTAATTAATCATAAATACTTTATATTATAAATTTATATTTATTTAAACGTTTATTATAATTTTTATATAACGTTTTTTTATTATAATATTTAATAATATAATATTTTTAATATTTAAAATTGTATTATATAATATAAGTTTATTTTTCCATTTTTTTTAAAAAATTGCTAATAAAAAATAATTTAAAACATTTAACGTTTTTTTTAAAAATTATTATTTAAATAACCTTTTTAATTATTAAATTTATACCATTATATAAAATATATATATTTATAAAAATTAAATTAATTTATATTTTAACTTTTTTTATAACCATTTTTTTATTAATATTTATAAATATATTTATAATAAAATTTATTATATTAATTAATATTTTTAATATTATATATATTAACTATTTTTTTAATATTTTTACCGTTATTATATATAAAGTATTTATTATAATAATTTTTTATTTTTTTTTTAAAAAATAATTTTTAATATTTAAATTTATTATTTTAATTACTTACTTTATATTTATAAATTATATATTTTTAATAATTTTAACCGATAATATTAAAACTTTTATTAAAGCAATTTTAATAATATATAAAAAAAATTATTATTTTAATTAATTTTAAGAAAATTATATTAATATATAAATATTTAACTTTTATATATTCCGTTTATTAAATAAATTAGTTATTATTTTATTATATATTGTTAAAAATATTATTAATAATATTTTTATAATTAATTTAAATATTATTTTCGTTTTTTATTTAATTATTTTAATATAAAACATTATTTTTATTAAATAAAATTTTGGTTTTATAATAATTATTTAAATTTATATATTTATAAAATGTAATAACGTTATTAAATTATTATTTAATTATGTATATATTAATATGTTAAAATGTTAACTTAAAATTTTAACGTATTTTTAAATAATTTTGTAATATTTTATTTAATTATTTTTTTTAAAAAACTTTATAAAATCGTTTAAAATAATTGTTAATTTTATAATAATTTTTTTTTAAATTTTAACTTTTTGTTTAATTTTAATATATTATTTATTAATTAAGTTTTGTAATAAAAATTTTATATTTATTATAATAGGTTTTTTTTTAACTATTAAAATTATTTTTAAAAAAAGTATAACGTTTAAAAGTTTAACCTTTTTTTTTTATTATAAATTAATTATAGTAAATATATTAAAGGTTAATATTATTATATATTAAAAATTAATTATTATAATAAAACGTAACGGTGTAAAAAGTTTTAATATAAATAAAAAATAAAAAAATTTCTTACCTATTTTTTTAGTATTTTAATATTTTTATACTATTTTTAACGTGTATTAATGTTTTATGTGGTATATTTGCAATATTATTAACAATAATATACGCACGGATAATAAATATAAAAAAAGGTAATGTTTAACCGAGTACAAATGTGTAATTGCTGTATATGGAAATCGGACATATGTAGGCATACTAATTAGATTACATTCGCACAAGGCAGACTTTAAGGGATAGGTAAGGCTGATATGATCTTAGGTAATAGTAGGATCCCCCCTTATTATTTGGAATTATCAACGGTATGAGCCTCAAACTATCATGGGACAAGACATCTGATAAGATGGTACATAAAGCTAACCCGTCATTCTGAATCCCTGTTCACTTCTGGAACTATTCTGTGATCCCCTGTAGGAATATGGAGAGTTCGGGAGTAATCAGCGCAAATCGCACCTCAACAGAAAACAGCTGCTACTTAACTAAGCCACCATGAGCCCCACGATAAGTACGACCAAACGTCCCCAGGATCGGACTTCGTTCTATTCTGATATTCTCCGATCAGTCTAACGGATAGGTACGATTAATAATATTCATGGAATGCGCCTCACGGGAAGACTTTCTTATTAAATCAACCAGTTCCATTTCCGGCAATACCTCATAGGTGATGAAACGAGGGCTAAGGAGTAATTCATATTATATGGTGTTCTTAGAAATAAAGACGTATGAAAGATCAAACGCGATGCCATCTAACGAAGCGAGACAACAAATTCGCAGACCATACGACGATTTATATCCTTGATAGACCTACGCATGTATATCTTTGATGCAGTACTACTCATACATCGTAACGGTAAAAACAGTCACGTATCTTATTTTCTCTGGAAATAGCCCAAATCAAAACACCGTATCTAGATAGATATAAAATAGTATAACTAAGCGAAAAGGTAAGTTGAGGCTAAATGCCATCTACACAAATTCCACATAGAGTACCTATTCAATGTGCAAGCTCCGCATCAAACAATACATACAATGCATAAGATAGGATTGCAAGCCGCCTATGGTTTAGATTCGCAATAGACAATAATTTACACGTCTACAGAAAAGCTACATTGCCTACCCAAGAGAACAATGAATAGGGTACCAGGGCTCATCGCGTTGCTCTCCTGGCAGTGCGCCGCCGCCGCAGCCTCTTCCATCCAAACCAAAAGGCAGAATCCAAACACCGTCTATCTGCCCTGTACGCAAGACGGGTACAAGCACTTCTTGATCCGGAACTGGCACAGCACAACATACAACAACAGCACCGAAGTCTTCAGCTTCGAGCTTCAAGTTAATTTCAGCGGGTACGCAGCGCCGTGCCACGGGACGCGCAAGGGCGACGATAATAGCGGATGGACATTATGCGACGGCGATAAAGATAATACCGAAGACCCTCGGTTCGCCGTCTCCTTCGACTTCTCGTCTAACGACTACCTCGGCGTCAACCACACATATATATGCGACCGCGGCGACACCGAAACAGACCCGCACAACCGCCTCGCAAATGTGCTCGCGACAGGCGACGGCCGGCTGCAAATCGGGCTTGTCGACACGCCCGAGGGCCATTTCACAGGCACCGAGGGGGACAACATGACCATCGCAGCGTACCGCGAAGTTGCGCACCGCCTACCGAAAGCCGACTGCGCTGCAGCATACGATTTCAACGAGTGGGAGGTACGGGATTTCAAATTCGGTGCTCGGGTGCAAGCCGGCAACCCGTGGGTCATCGGGACGACGGTAGCGAGTATCGATTACGACTTATATAACGGAGCGATTCATTATCTGATCAATTGCCAAGGCGTCAACAACTCGATTGCCGTGTTTCCGTATTATAACCCGGATCTGATCAATCCGAAGACGCGGTTCCCGTGCCCGATTAACTACCGCGACGACTTGATTCCACCCGAGGCGTATCCGAAGACCGGGTTTAAGTTCGATAGGCGCTCAAATGAGGTATCTATCGAGCAGCAATGGGATTGCGAGGACGATGATGGAAATGAGTACCTAAAGTAACTGGATCAAGTTGATTTCAGGGGCTGATTTACTAACGGAGATTTAACCCTTTACAGGACTACACTTCTAGCAGTTGGCAGTGCGGTTCTACCGCTAGAATGCCATGAAACACCTACTTCGGATGATAACCCAATTCCCCAAGCGGTGGATTGTGATCCCGTAACTGTAAAAGTGATGGGTAAGTTGGTATCCCGAATCGGATTTGTGACGGGATATAATATCGAGGTGGCTACGGAGTTTTGTGATATTGAGAGTAATGTAGAATATCTAATGACAAATACTATTAAGCATAGCTACAACATCTTCAGCCGCTACCCTACCAATGTATTTCTGGCCGGCTATGAAGTATGATGTCGAGTAGAGCAAGTTCAATCTAGATCTGTAGCCAGTGTCACACATCATCGTCTCACCGCATTGAGCTCATAAGGACTTGTGGCTCGTGGCTAACGTTAACATAAAATAATCAAGCAGGACTCCCCCTGTGCTTTTCTACAAATCTGAATATCCAGAACGCCACCCTCGAATGCTTTTGAATGCTTTAGAGTGCTATGCAATATTTATCGTCAACTGGCTATTTCCGAATCCAGGGCTGGCCTGCAACTAGGCGGGGATGATTGGCCATCTTCCACTATTTAGTAGAGGTATATGCTGAAAGAGTGAATTGTCATATATCGCCGATCGGGAACGGTATCGGGGATATTCTCAAAGGTTCATAGATGGTACGCTAGTAACCGACAATCCGTATCGAGGCACTGGTTTTGGCTTCATCTCTCAAGTGTGCCCCCCTCTTCGTCTAAGAGAGATTGTCGCTCGCAGTCGCGCAAGCGCCTGTTTCTTCAAAATCCTCTACCTCGGTCATCCGTATGGCTTCCCCTACGTCGTCAACGAAGCGGTGTCTACCACCAACAAGTTCGACAATGCCACTTCGTTCCATCAATTGCCACACTTCGTTCTGTCGGCTGACGGGTCGGCTGAAGAACACCCTAACGCCCCGGTCTCGATAATTGCGTACTATCTCCTCCAGTACCTGAGTACCAGAACCATCCATTGAAGTGACCCCGTGGATATCAAAGATGATATTTTTGTTACTGGCTTGTGGACGAAGACGCGGCAGCGCTGGATGTGCATTTCCCGTGCCGTACAACTCGAGCCGTCGTAGTCTATTCTTCAACTCGCCTGTATTTGCAAATGTCAAGGGCTCGGGAATCTTCACAATCAGACATCCCTCTACAAACTCGAGATCCTGGGGGTGCTCTTCGGCATTAGCGAAGCGATCACTGTTAGGGATCCTACCCAGAATTTGTATACGAGGGCGTGTTGCATGACGAATGACTTGCAAGAGCGATAGGCCAATGCCAATCGCGATGCCTAGATTGAGAGAAAAGAAGACTGTGACGGCTAGGATGACAGCCATGAGGGTAAGCTCGGTCCAGCCCTTGATTCGTAGGAAAAACGATATGTCATGCGGCGCTTCTTCGATTAAAGACCAGGCAACTGCCATGATCAGAGCAGATAGGACGGGTTTCTGCTCCGTAGTTAGTTTGGTATTTAACATGGTGAGCACTTGTAGCAGAAGCTCAAGGGAGGCCAGCGAATAGAGTATGAAGGTAGGTTACTCACAGGAAGGTAATAGAACCACGGTAAGAGGAATAGGATACATATAACAGTAAGAACGCTGAGTATAATGGAGCTCATGGGACTCTTCCCGCCTGTACTCTTATTGACTTTGCTTCGACCGTAACCTCCAAATGCCGGGATGGCCATAAAGAACGAACCGACGAGGTTGGCTGCTCCGAGAGCCACGAGTTCTCGATTAGGACTCAACTGCATCCCTTCGATGATTTCTTCGCCCCCCAGACTCTTGGCTGCAACCGAAGACTCAAAGAAACCAAGCATGCCAATCAAGAAGGACGTGCCCATAGCCTCTCGGATGTGGGACATGTGCGATAATTGGAAAGGGTTATGAAAAGTGAAGACGTGACCGGACGCTGCTTCGACATTGCCCAACACTGGAACACCACTCTGTTCCCAGCCCAGGTGCCAAGCCATGAGTGCAGAGAATACAACTACAATAAGTCTATCGGGGAAATATGCTACTCCTGGGTATCGTGGTTGCAAGCGTCTCTTGGCCTCCCTACGCACATGATCAGCCAAATTAAATTCCAAAGACAGCAGAGTAATCCTGAACTTACCGCAATACCATAATGACAACAAACCCCACAATACCGACAATAGCAGTAAGGTTGTGTCTGTCGCCAAGGTGTGTGAGTACGAACTCGAGCTTCTGCACAGTGCTTCCGTGCGTAATTCCCGGTGCTGCTTTAGCTGCATGATTAAGTCCCAAGACGGGAATCAATTGGTCAATAAAGATAACCACGCCAATGGCAGAAATGAAGCCTCGTAGGAATGGTCGGCTCAAGACGCTATCAAGAAATCCTAGACGAAATACGCCCATAAAGAAGACGGTTGCACCAGCTATGCCGACGGCCACGCCGGCCACCTTCGCTTCTAGAATGGCATTGTCTTCGTCGCCCCCTCCAAGATCGATACTATTCTTAACAATAGATCCGACAAGTAGGGAACCAGCTGCCTCTGGCCCGACCACCATCAGCGGGCAACTTCCTAAAAGCGCGTATATGAAGGGATTGATGGCGAAAGCATATAAGCCATTGATCGGAGGAACATGTGCTAGGTTATCGGCGTACGAAAGAGCCATTGGGAGGTACATAGACGCAATGGTGATAGCGGCCGTAAAATCGCCTTTCAACCACGACCACTTATACTGCTTAATCCATATGAGGAAGGGCACATAGTATGACAAGTACATCACCCACGAGTCCTTAACGCCATGCTGTTGTGCCAGTGTACTGGAATCCGTCATCTTTTTGCTCTTTACCCTATTCGAAAATGTCTTTCTCCAGTTCTTAAGCTGCGTCTCGCTAGACGGCACAGAGCCGTCCGAATCCGCCATAGACCTTATCTCGCCATCAAGATTACCGGCTCTTGGTGGCGGGCTGGATACGCGAGGAGAGAATGTGCCGTGGTCGCAAGGGCCATCATGTGCGCGTTCGTGGTGGAGGAGAGAAGTAGTCTCGTTAGTGTCGTCATGAGAGTGATCGCCGCGCGTGCTAGGACCTGCAGGATTTATCCCTTCTAAATCGTCACTCATTGAAGAAGATGAGACGGTGCGACTATGGCGAAGGCCACTCGGAGTCGGTGGAGCATGATCGTGAGGATAGGGTCGACCAGTCGTAATAGAAGGAGGTCGTGATGACGACGACATACTCTCGACTTCGACTATTAGATACTAACTAACCTAGGGACGTCAAATGAGGTGAGTGCCTATTACTTTCGACTTTGGCAGCCTAGAATTATGAGGTTGTTAAGAGAAACTGAGCTTCCGTTTACGATCCAGCCGTGGTGTGTTTGCGACGTAACAGGCAGTAAGAGATTATCACAAGAACAATCTAATTGGCTTTAGAGACCAACAGGTCAACGAGAAAACCGGGAGAATGCAGATTAGAAGAAGGCTAGACGATCTACATTATGCATAGAGCTGGAGCTGCTAAAGGTAGAAATGATATGGGGGACATTGGAGACATGATGGACGATATGCAAGACGAAGTATGTAGGAAGAGAAAAATGGCATTTATTTAATTGGTTGATTGACAAAAAGGATGATACCAAAGTACTTTTGTACTGTTCCAAGGGTTCCGTAGGACAAGAAGTGGATAACAGCGGGGGGAGCATTGAGTAGCTCCTTCGTACCATTTCATCTCAAAAGGTAGCAACTTCTTCTTGATCGATATATATTGTTGTGCTTACCATTTTATAAATTTAAAGAAGAAGAAAGGAAAGAGAAACTTAAGAATAGGAAAGAACCTTTCTGCTTAAATAACCTGGCGCAATGATATATAAAACAAGGTTCAATGGTTACATATTTCCTAGGTACCTGGATAGATAAACCCTAAATCAGCCATTCGTCTGCAGCCCACCGAAACGCAAGATCTAGACCCCGAAACGCAGTCACGCAGTCACGCAGTGGAGATTTAATGTACCACGCGAGCCGCAGCGGGGAGAACGGCTGCATATGTAGAATTGGGGTTACCTAATAAAAACCTTGGTACCCAGACAACATTTCAACGTTTCAACAATATGGGCTTCGCCTAAGAAATATTAAGAAATATTTAGGTAAGTTCAAAGGTTAGCCGCTTCAAATTTACTTGGTATTTCCTTGGTATTCACTTGGTATAGTCATTACTTGGTACGGTTATAAATCAAACGTTGAAATTTGCTTGCCTATGGATCAGCTACCTATTTAACCTCGTGCAATTCGAACGAAATAATTCATCGCGCATTTGTATCATGATAACCCAGCGAAAATCCTCCACGATGTCGCCCATCCACATATCGGACAACGAGAGAGGGTGCTATATCGCGTCAAGCGAGTTATCGGAAAATGGAAACGGAATATCAACGACGATGTGTGCAAGCAATAGTCAACGATGGTTGAAATGAGTGTACTATCCGAAGATGAAGAAGGAGGGCGGACCTTCATTGTCGAGTCATCGTGATAGCATATGAGATCTGGCTGATAAACGCGTTGTTGCCTGCGATGATGCGATTACACCAAAGAATTAGCATCAGCATCATCCTCCTCTTCTTGAGCCTTGATATCGGCTTTGATCTTGGCATTGGTCTCGTCTTCATCTTCACCATCGTCGTCCTTGAACTTAGAAAGAGCCTTTCTGGACGTCTTAGTCTTCTTGCCGGAACCGGGGGTCTTCTCGCTGCCGGCCTTGCGCTTCTTGCCGCCTTTAGTGGGCGTGCTAGGCTCGCTGGTGTTGGCTGTGGTCGATTCTCCTGAGGCCAAGGCGAGCTTTTTCTTGATAGGTCCGAAACAAGCGCGGGCAGTTGAGGCGTTCTTGAAAGGCGCAAGCTGGGCAAGCTTGTTCCAGTTGATCTAGAAATACAGAAACACGGTTAGTAAATGCCAAGAATTTGGTCATGTAGTTTTATACAGGAAATAACGAGGTATGAGCTAAAAGTCCCAAGATGAAGGTTTCAATATAGTAGGTATATGATTGGTAATTTAGAATATTCGAGGGGTTTTTGATGGGTGAAGGTGGAAAGGTTGTTTCGGTCTTACCTTGGGAGCTACCTCAAAGCACTGCCAAGCTATTCCTAGAATCTCCATATCTCTAGCGGTGAATTGGGTATCCTTGATGGATGTTGCCTTTGATGCCATGGTGATGGATACCTAGCAGTAGGTACTGATTGTAGGTTGCGTTGACGAGAGATGCTTTAAGCCTCCAGAAGTGTGGGGAAAGAAAGAAGGAAGTGTATACCTAATGTGTAGGTGTTATCACGGTAGCGAAGGGGAGTTGGGAGCTTTGGCGATGTTTCTTCTGATTGTGGGCAATCTGGATTAGAATCGCTGTGCTAACGTGACTGTAAGTTAGCCGCGGTCCTAGATGATATATTTGGATGGATATTGATAGATGTGAAAGTCAAGATGAATGGATAAAACAAGTTTGATTTGAAGTTGTAAGATACGATGGTAGAAAGGAGTAAAATGAGATCTAGGTTGTTGTCTGATAATATCGTGTTTGAGAAGGCAACGAGAACTGTTGAAGTAGGAAAGAACTGAATACCTTGAGGCAGTTTGTGCACTTGTTTTCACGAAATCGCACGGCATCTACTTTCACGTTCACGTTCACAGAATACAACTTGGACTAATATTTCCAACCGCTACATTTCCTTGTCATGATATTATCCAAATAACTCTTAGTTTTTTTATATTATATCCTGGCAGCTCTTAATGAGCAACTCCCAGACCTTAGGTAGTTATTGTAATTTAATGGTAAGTCTTTGCCCGTGGGCATATCCTACTTGGCTTTCATGGCATAACACTTAGGTTGCACAAGAAAAGAGATGTTAGTTGAAATTTAGGGTATTCCAAACGGCGATCTTAAACCATTTGCTTACATTATCAAACATAAAGGTCCAAGCGTATTTGACAGCATATCACATCTACTATTGCGATCGATGAATGTCGACCGATAAAGCATCATGATGGCGAACTTCGAGCTCGTTACGTAAAACTATATGACAGATATTTAAGTAGATGGCTCTGGTAAAACTTTGCTTTTATACAACTGTCCATGGTAGCCACCTAGATTAAGTATCTTAAGAGCTTGGGGCTTATTTAGGAGAGTGTTACATACCTTGATATCAACTCCCCAGGCTTTTAAAGAGGCGTTCCGATCCGAAAGCAAATACCTGGCACTAACGTATACTGCACCCGAACACCCTGCCAGGCATCTGTAATTCGTGCGTTTGATAGGAGGTTTGCCAGGTAACTTTAAACATAGTAGCATTTTTGTATGGGGAGAAAGTTATCTAACTAGGAACTGTAATTAAATCTCAGGAGCCAAGGGACATAGCCTTCATACTGCCCAAGTCACGCTCAATAACAGAAGTACGGAGGAACTAATCTAAACTCATAAGACGATGCTTCTCGGTCTGTATTAACTACTTTTATTCAATCCATAAGGACTTCATGCTTAACATTTGTCGTTTTAGAAATATAGTAGATACCAAGCCCCCCAGATATTAACTACCAGACACTCTTAGATGGATATAGGAACATGGAAAGGAAAGGAAGAGAAAGGAGTAGAAGAAAGTGTTCCAGGTGCCTAACTACAGCAATTAAGGAACGCCAAGACTCGCCTAACTATTGAAAGATGTCGAGGCTCCAAGTCAGAGGATTCCGGTAATTGTCCGCTCGGCTCTAATAGCTGTCGTTCAGACGTCGGAATTGAACTCGTGGAGGAAACAGAATCGTGGCGGTTCTGTGAACCGTTTTGATATAGATCAGCCGTGTTGGTGCTCGGTGGTCTCGATATGATAACTGTTAGTGTTGGATTCCCGCCCTCTCGCGCGAATTCTCCTATTTCGCCCTCGCGTACGAAGTAAATTCTGACCGACCCTGGTCCTAATCGGAGAGCTGAAATACTTCCTGCCTGCGTATTTGTCGGAAGAGTGGATGACCAGTCTACCCAGCCGTCGGTATATTTTCTTTCAAGAATACATTCTGCTTCAGTACACCAAACGTACATTTCTAGATCGACCTGTTTAGATGCAATCGCGCATATCGAGGCTCCTGGCGATGCTGGTATCATATAACCACCAAAATAATCGGCGGAGTCAACTCTGTTGTTGTCATCGACTGTGTCCCAACAAAACTCTCTGAAACCTAAGTTTGCTAACTTGCAGTAAAGCCTCAGGCCACGATTCCCGAGATGTTCAAAGTTGGTTGCCGCTAGTGGCGAACCAATTGCTACATCTTTAAGTATCTGGCCGTGACGCCATTGGGATCTGCGTGCCCATCCATGAAGAATGCGAATTGTACTATCTGCAGCTTGGTAAAAGAGAACGATGTTTCCATCGCCCCAGGATGTTACTGCGAGCTCGCTGAACGAGGCGGCTTTGATGCGATATGAGTTTAGAGCTCCTTCGCACCATGCTGACTCTGGATTCCAGGCCAACTCTTGAATATAATTGTCTTCATTAAGACTGTAAACTCGTACCTAAGTGGAGGGATCTTGTAAGTCCACAGAGAGATTAACTAAAATCCACATAATTAAGACGTACCATTGGTTGTTTATGTCCGCTTGTCTGCCTCCACGCTGTCGCTGCGATAGGACTTCGATGCTTTGCTATACCAACCTTATCCTGGGGTCTCCCCCCTTGCCAAAATGATTCGTGCTGTTTTTGAGTAGCTTGACGAATGTCCCCGTCAACCCCTAGAGATATATACTGTTTAGCAACGACTAGTTCGTCATCTGACAACATCAACAAAAAGAATTCACTTTTCTCACCTTGGAAATAAAGTCGCTAGTATTTACAAAATACAAAATTAGAAGGGGGCAGTATACTGGAAGGGGTATTCTCACCTGTTCACCGGGCCAACCGATGGCTGCAATATGGGATTTCTCTTCGATTCGGAAATCTTCGGCAGTCTCTTCAGATAGGCGAGGACCATTGTCCTCCTTTGATGGAGGAACATTTATCCTACAGCAATCTCCAAAGTATGGTACTTTCGAAGACACATCATACTTAGAATCTAGTAATCGTTGTCGCAAGTGTGCTGCACTCGGTCTGGCATTTGGATCTTGTTGAAGCATATCCTCGATCCACCCAAGAGGCTCGTTCCCAATCCCATTTTCTGTCCTTTTGAGAATCTCGATCCACCGGTAGACAATATGTAAGCCGTTATTATATGAGGTGCTTTGTGGAAGGTATTCGCCGAAAAACTTCCTGATTTCGTTTACTTGTCGTCCCTTGAGAATGGTCATCATCTCAAGAAAGACACATCCAAGAGACCAGATATCTGCCTTCGAATTTCGAGATTTTCCTGCCCGAGTGACTTCCGGAGCGCAGTAGAGAGGGGTGTGAGAAACAACAGGCTCCATTGTCGTAGTTTGAAAGGTTTCACTCCAGTCAAGAGAAATGCCAAAGTCAGTCAAGAAGACACGTCCGCCATGAACAAGAATGTTATGGGGCTTGATGTCATTATGGCGCACATATGCTTCGTTGTGGAGGTAATGCAATGCATCCAACAAGCATCCAAAGTAACCGAGCAGTAACAGTCTTTTGCTATCATCACTCTCTGCTTCAGAGAGGTATTTTGATAGGTTGTAATCCGCAGCCGGTTCCATCAGGAGACCAAGGTAGTTAGGCGATGTAAAACTTCCGACAAAAGAAACAATGTTTTGGTGCCTGACTCTCTTAAGCATGTTGAGCTCTTCCGCAGCTTTACGTTTGCTTCGGTCGATTTGTTTGAGAGCATATATTTGGCCGTTGTATCCATTTTGGACTTTGTAAACTACACCAGATCCTCCACTCCCCAGTTCTTCTATCTTCTTAAGGTTTCCCCACGGGTCATTGCTACGGAGATTGTGGTGCTCGTCTGGATTTTTGAAGTAGAGTGTCTCTGACAATACTCTTCGCTGCTCCTGCCCGAACCTGACAAGGTCTCCAGGGTTTTCGAAGAAGTCGGAAAGGTCGTCATTATTGATAGGAAGCTTATAGTCTGTGACATTTCTGCTGATTAGTTTGTCAATTAGTTCCAGGACATTACCGGTCGGTCGCACAATGCTCAATATGACATATAATTTTGCCATTTGACCCCAGCCCTTGTGGCACGTTTCGAGCAAGCCCGATACTTGTTGGATATCTGCTTCATCGTAGAAATCGCGCAGTGGGCGGATTTTTTGGTTTAGGTCCTGTATCATCTTGTTGGTTGACATTGATTCACGTCGTAATATTGCACCGGGGGCATCATTACTTAATAGCATTTCCCTGTCTCTATGACCCTTTTCTTTTGCATACTCACGTGGTGTTTTGCCATTATTGTCCTTTGCGTTGACATCGGCACCGTTCCGGAGTAAAATGCGAATAATTTCCTTGTAACTGCTATCGGTTTTCCTTCTCCCCTTTGCTGCGAAATGAAGTGGTGTCTGTTCCTTAATGTCCTTTATTGAGACATCTGCCTGGTTTTCAATGAGAACTTCAACTACTTTGGAATGCCCGTGGATGGATGCCAAATGGAGAGGCGTTCGGTTTTCATCGTCCCCTAGGTTTATGCTTGCTTTACTTTTGAGCAAAATCCTCACGACATCTTCATGACCATTTCCGGCTGCACAGTGGAGTGCTGTTTTCTGGCTAAAGTCGCGCAGGTTCACTACCTCTTTGGGGTTATGATCGAGGAAAGCTTGGACAACACTGCCAAATCCACCTGCCGATGCTTGTTGTATTGCCCCGATGGTGGTCGGTTTTACATGGAGAAGAAGCTTCCTCACTTCAGATTCATCTCCGGCCTTACACTTATCAAGTAGTTTAACCCTGTCTGGTAAATTCTTGCGATCCTTCAAACTTTCGCAGCAAATATTGGCAGCTCCATTTTCTGGCGACAAGGACGACATTTTGTTATGTATCTTTTTGATGCTGGGGCGTTCGTCCCGATCTTCGCTCATCATGGCCCGACAAAGACTGAGGATCTTACATCCCCATTCATCTTTTAGCTTTATTTTGCCATCCAATTCTTTCATGAACTTGTATATTTCACCTAAATGTTCCGCATATGACGAAGCCCCGACAACTTTGGAAAGCTTTATACGGCCTACTCCTGGCCAATAATATGCAACTAACATTTCGAGGAATACAGCGCCCAAGGAGAATATATCAGCAGATCGTCCTCGTGTGCTTCCAGCCTCTACTTCAGGTGCAGCATATTTACGTGTGCGCCCGCGTGGTTCATTAGGTACTGTTGTTGGAACCGTATCAATAAGGCCCATTTTCGATATCCCGAAGTCTGCGAGTAGGACCTTCGTATCTTTTATCAATATGTTGGGTGGTTTGATATCGCGATGCGTGATACCAAGTCCGTGAATGTAACCCACGACATTTACCAAGCATCTAAGCCAGCCACGAATAGCCATGCGATCTGCCTTACCCTCGAGATAAGGCACAATGTCGCTATTCGCACGATGCATGACAATACCCATAAAAGGATCTTTGTGGATATCATTCTTGTTAGGCTGGAAGTAGAATGCTTCGATGAATTTGACAACATGCGGATGGTCAGCATACTGAAGGCATCGCGCTTCTTTAAGTATCCCGCGCTTTTCATTGTCATCCATGTCTTGCTTGTTGATTTTCTGAACTTTCTTCACAATAAGCATATTCTCGCCATTACGTGGTCTGACCCGCATGATATTTGAGTTCTGAGGCTGAGCAATGCTATGTACCTCTGGTACGAATGGGATATCCTCTTCATCATGATATTCCTGGTACCTAAGGTCTTTAAATTCTTTCAGTAGACTGGTAGTCATGTTGAGATCGGCTTGAAGTTTTTGAAGGGGGGAGGTTATAAGGGAAGTACAGAAGTACAATATGTTTAGGTATGTCTGACTTTTGGAGTGAAACTTTGACAAGGTAGTGATCGAAGTTATCCAGAAAATAAAAGGAGAAAATGTTGCTTCCCCAGTGAAATAGACTACAGCCCTTTATAAGTTCATACAAAGTCCAACTCATAAGCTACAATAGTATTATTGTTTCTCTACCGGTCCCGATGCTAATCATACCATTTTTAGCCTCTTCATTATCAGGAAATGCAAGACGCTTGCACGGATACCTAGCTGATAGGACCTGCAAGGTAACTGTGGCATGGCAGTAAGGGCTGCTGCGGTCATATTCACAGTTGCCCGATTATGCAACGTGCTAAATAAATACCATAACCCGTCTGCCATAAATTAGCAGCTCAAAATTTCTTGCACTTTTATAATCATTACTAACGCAAATGTAATAAGTACTCCATGGATCCATCGAGAGGGCCTTAGAACATGACAGACATAACAAGGCTAGTAACAAGTATAAGCATACCAAATCCATTTTTTTTCCCGACAGTTTCATCCAATATTAAGACAACTCAGGACTATATCCCAGTTAACATGAACAACTCGACACGCTCGTATGGCTGAATAAAATACTAATATTTATTTAAAATTTAAGAAATAAATTACCTACCTTTTTCTCTTAAACGGTTAGAGCAACTTCGACACGAATCATTGATTGTGCAATTTCACTATACTACGCTGACTTTTAGTTTAAATCATGGGGTAACGATGGCAAATTTGCTCACCGAGATACCTATGCATCAAGTGGCTAGTCTTACGAAATACTACATGGTTAAGAGGCAACGAATAGGTATTATTGTTCATTTTACCTAGTTAGGTACCTAGGTAGCTACTGGATTGTAAGGTATCTCACAGAATGCTTTATTAGGTACACCTTAAAATTTGGCAGAAGGCTTTCAGGTATGACGAATTATGTAGGTGATCTATCATTTCGGAGCAATAGTTGAGGTATTTTCTAAACCGGCTCATTTATATTACATACTGCATGCGAGTCAGATATACATTTGCTTTTCGATACTACGGCAGCTGAGGAGGTCCCGAACAACCATTAAGGTCGCCGACAAATGCACATAATCCCGATCGAGATACTTATGTCGTAACCACCAGGGAAACGAATAATAGATAAGCTACTATGCTGTGACACCTAGGTATGCAACGTGACTACATAATGGGCGTGCGATATTGCCGGGCATTTTTTCGGTATGTCTTCGATTCAATTAGCTGCTGTAAGAGGATTAAGTTGCCGGGTCACAATTTTATATGACCCCTTCCTCGTAAAAGAAAATAAAAAAATAGGATGACTCAAGCACATTAGAAATTCTCTTTCTGCTATGGATATTTTCCAAACCACTGTCACCGCCAGCACATTGCTAATCCAGTTTCTGGGGGCTTGCAGCGAATTCTCATCCGAAGCGGAATCTCTAAAAACACAATTGGAGTGGGACCTGCGAGCATTGAGGGTAGCTCAAGACGTCTTAATGAAAATTAAAGATGGAGGCCAGCAGCTGTCAGCTGACGACGCTGATCTAGTGAAACGGACATCAGAATATCTCCATAACCTCACAAACAAAGTTAATAGAAGTCTCAAGAGGACTGGACGCAGAGGCTGGCTATATAGTACTATTAATAAGGGCACATGGATAGCGAGGCGACCTCAATTGCAGGACATGCAAAAAGAAATCCACGAGTGGACAGTAAGATTAGATGTACGGCTCTTGGCACTCATAGGGGAATTTGGAATTAGTATCCCTACCATCTATGATAAAACCAATTCCCAATCATCAGCGGTATTCGGGAGCAACAATAAACTCCAGGAATTTCTCACTCTTTCGTCAATTGCGAAGTCATCACGAACCAACGCTACACTGCTAGATGATCCGGATGGGCTCATATCCAGGATCGAGTCAACTAGGGATATTTCCTCACTTCCATTCCATGATGGCACCCAGCAAATGCTTTTTTCCTGTCGAGGGGTTTCAGCAAGCATTTCACAAGGAACATCAGCTTTCGAAAAGCTCGTATCTGAGATGGGCGAACTTGCCGCAGCACTGCACTGCCTGGATCCTTCTACGGACGTTCGACTTCTCAAAGTGAAGTACTACTTTTATCATCCGGATATGAGGCAATTCCTCTTCGCCCAGATTCCGCCATACTCTTTTCATTGTATGATGACCCTGGAAGAGCTTATCATGTACAATGCATTTCCCAGAACCGAAACGACCCTCGACGAGTGTTTCAAGATTGCATACAAGCTAGCTGAGGCTGTCTTCTTCCTCCACACTGCAGGGTTCTGCCATAAGAATATCACATCTCGGAGCATCGTTATTCTTCGACGGTTCGATATGAAGCATGGAGAAACGACCATCCCTATAACCGACGAAGCATACCTGATGGGACTTGATCTGATTCGCGGAACAGATGCGCTAACTTATGGGGAAGGCGTAGTTGGTGAACGGGATAGTGACCCATCAAGAAGCATCTGGGATTTTGATATTTTTCAACACCCGGATCGGCTTAAGGGGAGCAACAGCGCGAGATACAACAAAACATACGATATATATAGCTTGGGTGTTGTGCTTCTTGCCATAGGATTCTGGGAACCACTTTCGAAAATATTAGAACCACATGCAATTGACAAAAGCAACCCAGCCAGTTGGGCCCAACAGTTATCCCAGGTTGCGCCAAACCTGCGGTTTAGGGTAGGACAGAAGTACCGACGCGTCGTACAGTGGTGTATCGAGTTATCAGGAGAGCGAATAATTAAAAATGCCGAATTCATCCAGGAGGTATTGGATCCACTCGAGGAGATGATGAACGCTCTGGGCTAGTGATGTAAAACATTACTGCATACGTTTTTGTCGAATATTAGGAGGTAGTAGTAGGTAGATATAATGGGTTAGGTTACATAGGTAGGTTAGGAGGTAGTTATGGTAAACTCAACTCATCATTTACAGCGGAAATTCTGAAATTAGGGTTTTGCATCGGTGAATTCAAGCCAAGACTCGGTGTAAGCTCTATCGGATAATCCAATATGACACAGCAGCAGCATTTTTATATGTACTAATTGGGTATATATCCGCTTTCATGCAATTAAAGGATGGTACTAATACGGATAAATCGTTTCGGAGATTATGTTTTACTTCGGCCGATTATCAACAGTCGGACTTGTCCCTAATTCAACTCACCACTGATCACTGATTGATTAGATTAGATCAAGAGACTAAACCACATCACTCATGCTTTTTCTCAATTTCTACTTAGACATTGTACTACCATAGGCTCGTCATGGACGAGGCACAGAGCCTCAAGGTTGACCGTCGCCGCCGCCGCCCGGCTCTTTCATGCGTTAGCTGCCGGAGGTCCAAGATCCGCTGTGACCGTAATTTACCTTGCAGTACTTGCGTTCGCTCCAAACATAAGACCTGTGTCTATGAGCCTCAAGGCCGGCATTCGGAGTTATCTTCTTCTACAATCGGCCCAAATCACCCAGCCGATCCCTTGTCTGCCGTTGACTCCGATACGGCCGTCTCTCCCGTGACCAGTGGATCAAACCACGCACGTCACGGCGAAGCTTCACACGAGGATCACTCGACTCTTTCCTTGAATGGCTCTACAACCGTCGACTCAGCTTCTTCTAAAAGCCATGAACCATCTTTCGATATTAGGTCACTACTAGACCGAATCAAAGAGCTTGAACGCCGCTTAGAGGATTCTACGGGGAATCACTCACGCCAGAAGAACGCCACACAACCCTCCACCATACAACCTTCCACCGCCGACCCGGACCTTGTGGCTACCTATCCTAGTTATCTAGCAGGAGAATTACACACCATGAGTAGAAGTGTCATGACCAAAACCCGGTATCTAGGCCAAAGCCACTGGATGAATCAAATAGGAAGCGTACGTTACTCTCATATCCTTTTCTTCTCATTCTTATCAAGTCCCGCCGTAGGTATAAATATATATATATTGACAGGTCACTTAACCATCATTAGTTCAAGTATATATTAGAAATATTCGACCAGCAGTGTCGAGAAAAGATATCAGAGCCGATAGCGACGGTAAACCGATGCAAGTCGCTGGCTCGGACCGTCAAGGCGCAAAGGGCACCTGTACAAGTTATTAAATATGGTACTAATATACCGCCACGAGAAGTCGCGGATAAGCTCGTAGATGGATACCTTCGAACGTCAGAAACCGTCTTCCGAATATTACATGTCCCGTCGTTTCGAAAAGACTATGAAAATTTCTGGTTGTCGCCCGACTCGGTTGACCTCCCCTTCACGATTCAACTTCAGCTCGTTATGGCGATTGGTGGCGCGGTTTATGATGACCACTATACCATGCGCAAGTCGGCTATGCAGTGGGTATGCGAGGCACAATCCTGGCTCATCTCTCCAGCCCCTAAGACAAGGCTGACCCTCACTGGCCTACGGGTCATGCTGCTCCTCTGCCTCGCGCAAGGGACTGCGTCCGTGGGTCAGGATCTGGTCTGGATCCAGGTGGGACAATTAATGCGCACAGCTGTCTATATGGGCCTTCACAAGGACCCGAAGAAACTCCCCAAGATGAGCCGGTTCCTCTCCGAGGTTCGCCGCCGGTTGTGGAATACTATCCTCGAAATCGCGCTACAGGCCAGCGTTGACTCTGGAGGACCGCCCCTAATCTATCTTGAGCAGTACGATACTTGCGCGCCGGGCAATTACGACGATGATCAACTAACGGACGACGACACGCCTCTCGCGGTTAATCCCCCAAATAAGTTCACAGACATGTCTGTGGCTATAGCACTTCGTGCTAGTTTTTCGGCGCGTCTAGCGATTGCCCGGCTCCTTAACGAAATCGGTACACAAAACACATTCGATGATACCATTCAACTTCATAATCAACTCAGTACCGCATACAAATCCCTCTCACAGCAGCTCCAACGATTTACACTTGGCGACCGACAACCGACAGGGTTTCAACGACGCCTTGTAGATCTTCTTGTGCGTCGATACTTCATGGCACTCCATCTTCCTTACTTTGGCCCAGCTATGAGTGAGCCGGCTTACGCCTTCTCGAGGAAAACTGTAGTGGAGATAAGTGCGAAACTGTATTCTACTGTTTTCCCTTCAGCCGCTTTCAGTCCTCGGCCACTGCGACCTCAAATAAATGACTTGGGACAAATATCCATTGTACCAGATGGGGATGACTTGGCTCGATTTACTACTTGTGCAGCAGGCTTTGCTCGCAGTATCCTCTCACAAGCATCGATGGCCATCGGTCTCGATCTGCAAAACCAATTGCAAGAGGATGATAGCTTAGGGCCGCCTACCCCCCGAGCGGACCTACTTAATATTTTCAAAGATGCCACCGCGTGGATATATTATCGCATCTATGTTGGGGAGACGAATGTAAAAGGCTATTTATTTTCATTGGCACTATTAACGCATATTGAAGGATTAATGAAGGGCCTAAAACGAGCAGACCTCGTAGATTCGGTTATTACAGCTGGCACTGAATCAATGCAAGACTGCTTTGAATTGCTCAAGCAACAGATCGCCTCACAGCCCGATGAAGCTACCAGTACGAATAATGCACAGCCTGATTTCGACAGTATGATGGCGATGAACCAAGACTGGGAATACAATAGCCCAGTAAGCTACTCATGTCCTGGCTAGTAGTAATAATAGACTAACATAACGACCAGATGCAGAATGTCCTCTTCAATTTTACCAACATCGAAGCTGTGTTAGGCGTGCCTACAGGTTCTGATATGATGACAACCGATTTCTCACAATGGTAGCAGTAGTCGAGAATACAGCGAAGGTATATATAATCAACTGCGTATATATATTGGGTACCTCCGACACGACGAATACTGGAACTAGCTGAAGAGGTAGGTCTACTACAGGCAAAATTCAAGAGGCCGATGCTGCTACTGTAGTGTATGGTATTTTACTAACTAGGTACCTGAGGGACTAAATGCAACCGCATACCTAGGTAGGTAGGTACTTATTATATACCTTGTATCACGGAGATTTTGCTTTAACGCAGACGAGAACGCCCCTCGGTTCATATCGCACTAGCCTTTACATCACTCACCCACTTCCTCCTACTCCTAGACACAGTGATTGTCTTCTACCAATTGTACATAAAGGAGACTCAAAAATATTGTGCCTAATCTGTTCCTGACACAGCTGGTATTGCCTGCAACCCAAATTTAATGCTAGCTAATAAATAGTCTGCTGTTATACCTACGTTAGGCACACCTATTTAGGATCGAGTAGCTGCGTGGTGCTGTTTGAAAATATTACCTAGGAAGAGACCAAAACAAAAACAAAACGTCGGAGCTCACTCATATCTTATTCCTCTTGTCAGTTATCGAAACGGTTTCCCAACGCTGCCGACTGCCTAAATATCCACTCATGGGCTGTTAGTCCTTCATCTTCATCTTCCTTTGCTTCATCAGGGATACCCTTTCCTCTAATTGTTTTCATGACACACTTGTCTTCTGGTCTGACGAAATAGACGATGCTATAACGCGGATATCGGCCCTGGGATCCAGGAGATGGGATCACTCGATGGCGCCCGGAACATAGCACGCCGTTCGTGAATCTGACGGCGGCATCGCCTAGGTTAATGATGGCGCAACCTCTTTTTGGCTTGACCCAGAGCCATTCACCCGGCACATCTGGTTGGCCGTTGCTAAGCTGCGCCTTCCTCGCCGACTCGGACCAGACCTGAAGTCCGCCCAGCCAATTCATCAAGATAGTAATTCTGCGGGACTCGAGATCAGCAAAGGTCGCACAGGAAATAATTGAGCAATTACTTACGTCCCGAAGTCAGTATGCGAGGGTGTCTGAATCTCGGGCATCTCGTCCGTTTCTCGGGGCGGGCCCCTAGTGATACGGACGTGGTCTCCTGAAGGTTCCTCTATCCTGTGGCGGTTCATGAGCTCAGACGGATCGATGCCGAGCCTTTCCGCAAGGATATTCATGATCGTCATCCCAATGGAATGCGCACTCTTGATATAATCGGCAAAAAGAGGCTTCGCATCTAGGATAGCGGGCGGCCATGGGCGGCTCATACGGTCGTTCGGCACAATCATGTCATTCTTGCCCACGTTGAAAAACTCGGCAGTATCTGGAGTGCCAGCCTTATCTGTCACGGTTGATCCAGCATACTTGTACCCGAATAGGGACTTGACCATCTTATAGTCCATCTTCTCAGCTAGTGGCAACCGGAATACACGCTCTCCCGCCAGTGCAATCTGCTCAGCACCCCGGCGGATGGTGTCCCCCGCAGTGCAGCCGTCCAGCTCCAAGTAGAAAAAGCCGCGTCCGACACATGCCTCGAACACACGACCCTGCTCGACGGCGTCGCCATTTAAAAGCTTAGATAGGGTAATCGTCTCCAGTGAGACCGTGGGCAAATCTGAAGGGAACGGCGGGTATGATTCCGGAGTGAATTCGGTATATGCTTCTTCCTTATGAGGCATAGCTAATTACTTGTGAAATATTTTAATCAGTTCTACAATGGTCTGAGGCTATATCGAGGGGGGTCGCAGTTCTATATACCTAGGATAACTGAATCTCCGTTCCGTGTTGGTCTGGAAATAAGATGGAAGCCTCGGGTAGCCGAGTGGAGGTGAAGCGGGGAGAGTTCCAGCGATGCCTCTATAAATACGTTGAAGATGGAAGGTTGCGTAGGGAATACCTAATATGGGAATCCTGCAGCCAACGCGACGCCGATCGCAGTGCCGACAGAGCTTCCCCAGCTTCTCCGCATACTCTTAGCCGGTATTGTCCCGCTTGTCGATATACACCAACTTCTGCTCGTATGTATAGTCAAAGGGGTAGAAACAAAGAAGTTAGGATATCAAAAGGTGTATGAGTTTCTGTATGACAGCCTAGAGAAGGATGTTTATTTAAGTTTCCGCTCAGTCTTAGTCCAGATACCCCATCAAAATTGTAGACCACTATATAGTTCTATACTAATAAGCATGTGATAGTTCCTACAATGAATAGCTATTTCCTTAGCCAAGTCAAACTATAATTGACTTGGAAGCTAAAGCCCGAGTCTAGATATTTCGTGTAGTAATTGCACGTCGTTCTCAACGTAGTTTCTAATATACATACTCCTGAACAATACCTCACTTATAACCGGATCGCCCTCTTCTGGAAGTAGCCGATTTCATCCCCCTTCTTAATCTTGGCACCTGGCTTCTGAAACTTCTCGTGGATGTTTGCCGGGATATTAGCATCGCGTCGCTTTGAATTAGAATTATATTAGAGTGCAACGTACCGTACGGTGCCGACGTCTGTCGCGCCGATAGCTACGAATAACACGTCGCCGAATTGCTCCGTCTCGATAACGAGGTAACTGCGGGCGTTTGATGTGAGGATGTTCACACCGCTCTGCAGCGCGATTGGATCGACTTGGTAGTAGTCTCTAGGGATGCCGCGGAAGGCCTGAATAGCGCCCGTCACAGTCCTGCGGCGACAACCGGAAGCTAGCTATGGCTGCACTGGCGAAGTGTTATCCGGGCTGTACATCCATGACCAGATTCGTGATCGTGAAGTCGGTGCCTTTGATCCACAGTTTCTTAGTCTCGGCTACGGAATCATACGCTACGACACGCGAGTCGGCGACCACGACGGCACCCGCGGATCATCCGGGGTATCGATGGGTCGTGACCCCGGGCGGTGCGCGCGCACGAAGAAGTCCTCGAAAGTCTGGTATTACTTGATGTCTGCGGGCTCGAAGTCAGATATGCTGATGCCGTACGTATCGACTAAAGTCCGGATTTGATTATGCGAGGCCGGCGTGCCCTCTTCCTCGCCCTTCCAGACGGACGTGTTGTGGATCCAGAGCCGCATTAGATGCGTCGTGTCGATCTATTGTGTAAGTAGGTTGAAGAGTAGTAGCAGTTTGATCTTCTTGGTTAGGGGCTGTTGCTCGCGCATGAGCTTGCCGGTCTAGTTTAGGTTATGTTAACTCGAGTATGTTTACTTACCTTGCGGTCAAGGGGCTTCCATCCATATTCCCCGTTTGCAGATTACGTGTTACGAGTCAGTATGATACCTGAGCACCGGGTTACTATACTTACTAAATGTCATTTTGCGAGCAGGTGGTTTAGAAGGAGTCGACGAAGCGGTATAGATATGGAAGAATTTGGCGAGTCCTATGGTCGAGTACAAGCGATCAATGTGCTTCGATTAAGCTTGATGGTTACGGTATTAAGCCCCTTACTCTGGTTACGTTACGAACTAGCAGATACCTCGTCGTTATACTCTTAAATACGTAAGCAGTCTATTCTATTAATTTTCCCCTTGCGTAACTTCATCTACATGAACATCACGAGACTTATGATTCTAGATTCGAACGTCCCTGAAGCTAGAATCTCTAATAATGCGTTCGGAATATGGCTTCTCTAGTGACGTCATCGTGACCTCAAAATTCTAACCTCTTGGTTACCAAAATCTACTCGCTTGACTGGGAAGGATGGCAAAAAAAAAACTTCGACTTGGTCAACCTCATATCTATTTACTTCGAGGTAATATTGATAATCATTCGAGTAGAACAAACCTCTTTCATGCGTACTCATCAGGATTCTAAACATCAATTCGATGCCAAAAAGTTGACGATGCCGGTAGAAGAATAACAACGGAGCCGGGTCACGTGGACCGGAGCAAAGGAACAAATCTCTTGTCCGTTAGAAACAACCGAGTCGGGGCCATATTGTGCCACTTGCTTTCCACTAAGTTAGCTACCGTCTAACTTTGAGAAAACAGGAGATGTTCCTGAGAATCGACATAACCTTAACCTTGCTAGGTACTGGTAGCTTACCTGTATATAACAACTAACAACGTCGATATAATTCTCTAATTCTCAGACCGAACAGCACATATATTTCGCGGCGGCTCGAGATATACCGAAGCAATATTAAGCACCCCGTAAAAGGAGATCTGCGCAACTACCAAGTCGCTGCGTCTGGGTACTCTTTATACTATCATTCACTAGTCTGATATCCACGTGTTCGTGTTCGTTGTTGTTGGGATACCAAGGCAATGCCTTAATTCTAAACTGGATTCTTCTCCGCGTTGCCCAGGCTGCCAGGTCTACAGCAAGACTAGGTATCTTGGCTGCTTGGGGGTCAAAGTTGGAGAAAGATGGGGGAACGGTCCCGCTCTTCGGTCACTCGTTTGCGGAATTAGCGAACGGCATCACCGCGAGAGCCGAGTGAAAATCAAAATTCCCTAGTCCTAATAAGGCTTACGTCTTCCGAGAGGTCATCTACTCTTCTACATAGAACATGGCCTCCGAAGATACCAAGCCGAATAGCGTAGTTATGTTAAATTTAATGAGTTTTTATTCATCGCTGGCAACGATGGGAAAGAGAATTTTCTTCCTTCCCCTGAGGCGATTGGGGTTGGATTTGGAGACCCCAGATGGCGCCGTCAGTTTTTAAAGACAGCCTGGTTCGTCACACGGGAGGTACCCGGGGTTGAAGCCGTCGCTTGTGTAGCCGCGCTTATGCACATTGAGGCCTTCCAAAGTTCTTTTCTTTTCTCGAAAAAGACAAATTTCCGGGTCTAAGAAACGGTCATTAGGTAACTTACGAGGCCAAGGAATAGCTTTGTGGGGAAGATGCGCCTCCTGAACTTCCCGACTTATTGGTAATAGGTATGAATTCCCAGGTCTCTGGTTGGGCCATGATCAACAATCTGGAGATCGAGACTCGGTCCTATTACGACATCGTTCACTGATGCTCTTCTATTCAACGCTGACCGTTTATTTCAAGCGTCAGTTTACCCGGCGGTGGGCTGACCGGGATAGATTCCTACAGTTCGTTCAATCCAATATTTGACTCAATTATCTGGTGTTATTTTCTGCATAGTTTCCACGCCGAGGAACTTTTCAATTATTAGAGGGTTAGTCTACCGAAATCTTTCCCGTGGAGCCCACATCAAGTAGCTAGCCATACACTAGTAGCTGACAAGTCTGCTTAGTCTGGTCCTTGTTCGTGATGTTGGCTAGACAGGCTGGCTAGACTATTTCTCCTCAACAGACACCCCTGGCACCCCCGGTGCGTGCCCCCCCATACCCCAAGCGCCAAGACACCGAAGAAGAGCCTCGTCTCTTCGTCTCCTCGTCTCCCCCAAATTTTCCCTCGTTATGATTCCTCTCACGTAGTTTGCCCCGCATTATGGGGTGCTCGGATGGAGAAAACGGAGATTGGGAGAGTGGCAAGCCCTCCCCTGCCTTGGCCTTTATGTACATAGTTAAGCTTCTGCAGCTCACATGGGCTGCATGAGCTGGTCGGTACACGAGGGTGGTACCACAGCGCGTGTCTAGCCGGGGCGGGTTCCCACGATGCCACGATGCTAGTCAGATAAAAACCTCGCCGTCACCCAGCATCTCCTCTGCCGGTCTTTCTTCTAGTATTCTTCCCGGGTTTCCCTAAAGTTGGTTGGATAGTCCCCTTTGTTTGGGTTTTCTCCGAAGATTCTTCATACTCAAACCAACCATTAGGACAAAGAAGCTAGGGGAATCACTACTTTCAACGAATATCCATTATGGCCGACGAGATAAGAAAAGCCGAGCCTTCTCAAGGCCTGGCGGCGAAGCGGGATGTGGAAACGCTGGAGCATACGACAGCACCCGTAGCTACTCCTGGAAACTTACTCGCCGCTGCTTCGATGGATCCGGCGCATCGTGCGCGCGTAGAGAAGTCGCTATTGCGCAAGTTGGATGCGCGATGTTCCCTCTTCGTCTTCATATACATCCTTAACTATCTTGATCGCAATAACATTGCGGCCGCGCGCCTTAAGGGACTCGAAAAAGATCTAAATCTCGATGATGTACGCTCCCACTTTGGCACAATTGACGATTTGTGGCCAACATCTGTCTGTTTCTTCCTAGATCACCATGCTAACTACCAATAGACGCAATATTCAACCTGCCTGAGTATCTTGTACGTGGGATACATCTTGATGCAGGTCCCGTCGAACATGTTTATCAACCGGATCCAACGACCGTCTCTCTACATCGCATGCGCCATGCTTCTGTGGGGACTCATCTCTACACTCAGCGGTAACACACACAACTTTACCGGCATGGTTCTCGTGCGATTCTTCTTAGGTTTTGTCGAGGCTGCTTTCCTGCCAGGAGCGCTCCTGATCCAGTCTAAGTGGTACACGCGAAAGGAACTGACGACGAGGAATGCGATCCTGTTCTGTGGTAACATTATCTCTAACGCCTTCTCGGCCCTAGTGGGAGCCGGTGTGCTGTCGAATATGGATGGCGTTCTAGGCCACGCTGCTTGGCGATGGCTGTTCTGGATCGAGGGTGCGGTTACCATGGCCACCGCCATCAGCGCCGGTTTCATTCTTCCGGATCTACCACACAATTCTCGCGGATTTACCGCTGAGGAGCTTGAGGTCGCGCAGCTGAGAATGATCGAAGACGTGGGCGAGGCTGATGTTGACGAAGCTAATCAAGGTATCTTCGATGGTTTGATTATGGCCGTCAAGGATATTAAGATTTACCTCATGATGCTTACCTTCACGGCCTACGTCGTCGGTCTTTCCTTCAATGCCTTCTTCGTAAGTAGCTATTTGTCAAAGTCCTCGTGATGTTCAAACCAGCTAACCTCTCTACGCAGCCTACTCTTACTGGTACACTTGGATTTGATTATATCCCGACACTGCTCATGAGCTCGCCGCCTTGGGCTTTCTCGTGCATCGTCTCTCTCTTGAACGCTTGGCACGCTGACCGAACTCAGGAGAAGGTGTGTATATCCATTTCGCAAATCACAATTTACTATTGTATGAGCAAAACAAAACTAACTCAACTGATAGTTCTGGCATATTGTTGGTCCCATCCTTGGTGGACTTGTCGGTTTCGTCATCAGCATGTCGACTCTAAACGTAGCCGCCCGATACGTAGGTCTATTCCTCCAAGCCAGCTCCTACGCGGGCTTCATCGTCTTCTACTCGTGGATCAGCTCGTCATTCCCTCGACCGCCGGCCAAGCGTGCCGTAGCGATCGCGCTTATCAACGCATTCTCCCAGCTGGGCAACGTGGCGGGTAGCTACGTATGGAACCTGAAGGACAACGGATACCGCAAGAGTTACGGTATCGTCACAGCTATGTTCGGAATCACGATCGTCGGTTGCTGGGCGTTCCGTGCCATCCTGGCAGACCTTAACAAGAAGCTGGAAGAGGGCGAGCGTGCCTGGGAGACGCAGCCCGACGAGGCGCGCGTATCTGACGCGAATGCCCCTGACGAGGCGTTGGGATTGCACAAGGGATACCGATACATATTATAAGGGAATGAATTATATATATATTTATATGGACCACGCCGCTCAAGATTTCAGATACCCCCTGTCTCGCTTTATTAGCTCTTAGATGAAGATGATGATGATAAAGAAGATAGAAAATAAAAGTAAAATAACAATACTGAATATGGTTTTGCGGTGATCTAATGATAAGATATAATGAAGCTTTATATACAATACATGGCGTTTTTAAATGAAGTAATAGGGAGTAATAGGGTTATGAAATGGTACCGATGCATGAAACTGAAAACCAATAGATAATGATGTTCACCGATTCAAATAAAGGAGGGTATTAACATTAGCTATGGGAAGTAAGAAATACTTTTACTTTGCGCACCGAATCTTTAATTAATGCGCAACATCTTTTAATATTAAACCATGGAAAGTAAAAAGAAGGTTCACCTTATAAACGTCATAACCACCCGGATGGCCGATCGGGTCGGTCAATTCCCGATAGATTGGTTCCGGTCGGATGCATGTCCCACCGGGTCCTCAATATTTCTTCAAAAGGAACAACCATAAGAATAAAGTTTATGTCTTTTATAACACTATGACACTATATCCAGTGAAGTCAGCTGACATAACTTTCTTAATATCTCCATCGCAAATCTCCAAGGTCAAAATTTCCTTTATATATTTAAACTTTAAACGCAATACATAATGGGACGAACTGAACCCTCAGTCGGTAGACCGCCCGCTAGCTTCCGTCGCGATGCCCGTGCGAAAAAGGCCAAAGCAACTATTAATAGGGTCATACCGCCCCTGCTGGCAGCGCATCCGCGGGCTCGTCGGGGGACCGAAACTTCGGAGCTGATTGTCGATCCCCCTTCCCCGCCACCGTCTACTCAAGCTCCTGGAGTCGGGACGCGACGGCGCACTAGTCGAGGACCTGCTGCATATGAAGGAAATAGCGGGAATAGAGAATCAAGAGGGGAAGACGAAGGCAAAGGCCCCCGTATCTCGCTGCGTGTGGCAGATACACTAGAAGCAGCATACTCACTGCTCCTCATCCCGGGCCACGAACCAGAGCAGCGGCGAGATCTTTCCAACACGGCAGCCCGTGTCGGCGTGTTGAACATGGCGTCACCACTATCTGGAGGCGGTGGGTTCCTGAACGGCGCATCGAGCCAGGAGGAGTCGCTATGCATGCGCTCGACGCTTCTCCCGTCTCTACGCGACGAGTTCTACCGTCTTCCTGAGCTCGGCGTCGTCTTTACGCCTGACGTGCTGGTGTTCCGCGGCTTTGGTAGCGAGCCTCGGGGTAAGAAAAAGAGGAGCGGGGAAAAGGTAGGGGATGACGAGGATGAAGATAGAGATGAGATAGGGGTAAGAGATACGGGGGCAGGGCGGGGAGGCGAAGAGGAAGAGCTCCTATCGAAGCGCGATCGTTGGTTCGTCGATGTCGCGTCTGCGGCCATGATACGAATACCTGAAATCGAGGTCGACGAAGAATCTGGATTTGCCCGGTACGCTAGCGCTGCAGACCGCGAACTAGCCGTGCGTAAGATGCGCGCCGTGCTGCGTGTGTTTGCTGCCAAGGGCGTGCGCCGGGTCGTGTTAGGTGCATGGGGATGCGGCGCATACGGTAACCCAGTCGGCGAGATTGCGAAGGCGTGGCGGAAGGTCTTAATTGGCGGGAGTAGAGACGGGAATAAAGGGGAGAATGGCCAACAGAAGAGAAAAGGGAAGGGGAAGAAAAAGGAGTCAGATTCAGATTCATGGGAAAGTTTCGAGCATGTCGTCTTCGCGATCAAAGACCCGGGGATGGCACAGGCGTTCGCAACCGCGTTTGGTGAGGAGTTTCTCGAAGTAAATAATTCTGAAGGGGGAGAAGGCAACATTGGCAGTGAGGATGGAGAGGACGATGAAGAGGATGCTAGTGTGAAGGAACTCCGTGATAAGATTCGGGAGCTAGAAGTGCGCGCCGAACAGGCACAGACGCCTCAACTCAGAGCCGGGCTTAGTTCCGTGCTCGCTGGGCTGAGAAGTCAATTACCAGACTCTGATGATATTTCTTCTCGGGCAGACCCTGTAGGCAGTAGGGGTGGCAGGGATGACGAAAGTGAGAGCGAGGGCGATGACGAGTCGACCAAAGGAGAGTTAGGGGACGATGAAAACCGAAGCGGGCATTATAATGAAGAGTTAAAATTCAAATAGACCATTTGAACCTGCACGTTTTATATAAATGTCTTATGTTATGACTAGTATAAGGCAAAATGCATGCTTAGATGAGACACAATGGAAAGCAAAACCTGGTCTAAGAATATCATCATATAAATTCATTAGAATTTCCACTTGTAACTACCTAAGCCCTTGTTAGAGGGAGTCGAATCGCTAATCTTCTCTCCAGTAAAACATAATTCTCTGCGTAGGGTATAGTAGAGATCGGATTTATCTCTCAATATTCACTTTTGTAAAATTTATTATTACAATTCATGCGGCGTAATGCTACAAATGGATCTCATCCCTTGTCTATGACCAATCATTTCCCCGACGCCCCTAGGTACGTAATTTTTGTTCATTCACAGAAGCAGCTCAAGAGGGTTCTCTACCACCTTCTTGAATTCCTTGATCCATTCAGCACCGACTGCGCCGTCAACTACCTTGTGGTCGAAGCTTCCAGTGACTGTGATCTGGTCATCCCACTCGACACTGGTACCATCCTGACCGGCGGGGATAGCAACCTTCTTCGTGGTACCGACAGCTAGGATGGCAGCCTGCGGGGGATTGATGACGGCGGTGAAGTTGTCGACGGCGGCGTTCATGCCCATGTTGGAGATGGAGATAGTACCACCCTGGAATTCCTCGGGCTTGAGCTTGTTGTCGCGGGCCTTCTTGGCGAGCTCCTTGACCTTGGACGAGATAGATTCTAGACCGCGGGCCTCGACGCCAGTAACGATAGGAGTGATTAAACCGTTGGGGGTGGCGACAGCGACAGAAACATCGACGGTGTTGTACTGGCGGATAGCGTCACCCGTCCAGGCCGAGTTGGCAGCAGGGACCTTCTTAGAAGCAACAGCGATAGCCTTGATAAGGAAATCGTTAACAGACAGCTTGTACTTGCCCTCGGACGAGCTGTTTAGAGCTTGTCGGAGCTTAAGAAGCTTGGTAACGGAGATCTGACTGCTGACGAAGAAGTGAGGGTTCTCCCTGACGGACTCTTGTAGGCGCTTGGCGATGGTCTTTCGCATGTTGGATAGGGGGGTATCTTCGTAAGAGGCAACAGGGGAGGCAGAGGAACGGGCAGTCGTGGTGGCCTTTTTGACATCGTCTTCCGTAATCTTACCACCGGGGCCGGTACCCTTAAGAGCAGAGACGACAACACCCTTCTCCTTAGCCAATCGCTGGGCTTCCGGGGTTATGTTAGGTAGTCGTTCAAGAGCGGGCTCGATCTTTCCTCCGTGAGAGTATTGTTCCGGCTCTTGGGCGGGCGTCGGGGCCGGAGCGGAAGTGGCATCGGACGGCGCATCCGACTTCTTTTCTTCCTTCCCTCCCGGTGCTGAGGCGTTACCTCCCGCGTCTGCGAGACTGAAGGACTCGAAGGCAGATACATCGGTTCCCTCTTCGACGAGAACAGCAATTGGCTAGAACAGTAACGTCAGCATTTCGGAGTACGGAATGGGGAAGCGCAAAAAAGTCACGCACGTTGCCAACAGGGACATCTTTCTCGCCGGCGTCCTTTAGAATCTTAGCGAGGACACCCTCCTCTTGGAACTCGAAATCCATCTGGGCCTTGTCCGTTTCAATCTCGACTAGAACGTCGCCGGGGGCAATAGTGTCTCCGACCTTCTTCTGCCATGCGCCAATGTTACCGGCCGTCATTGTGGGCGACAGCGCGGGCATCTTGACGACTGTGTGTGGCGGGAAAGATGCATAGTATCTGGCCAAGGGCATAAAGCCCGATCTGAGGGTTGTTGTCCTTAGAAGGCCTTGCCTTCTTAACACGGCGCCGAACATTTTGCTAGTGGAAGAAAATAACTCTCCCCCGGATGAAAATATATATTGAAAAGAGGAAGTCCGGAGCAATTTCGATAAGGCAGAAGTAAGGAAAAGAATAGGACAGGTCGGGGTATCTCAGAGCAGACAAGTTGCCAGCACCTGGGAATGATTGACCGAGTCCAATTGAGTTGAGGTGTGGGAGTTGGGGGGGGGAGGGAGACGGCGCAAGACGGGGACGTTGGAGAGAAAAAAAAAAGATTAGATCTGAGAAGTTGAGGTGTGAGAGGTGTGAGAGTTGTTGATTGGCGGCGGGTTATTTTCGTGACGGGGTCCCTTCTCAGCAAAGTACGGAAGTACCGTCCGTCTACGGTGCAGTTATGGCAGCCTTGCCCCAAAACTTTCTAGGGACGTTGAGAGAAGCTCCGAATTGCTAACGTGTTGCACCAAGAACCACTAGCGCTACATGTAGGTATACATACCTATGTATTTCTGGGTTGTGATGTATCGGTACCTTTTATTAGCGTAGATTACCTGATATTTGTATTTATGACCAGAATGCATTACTTGCTTTAATCTGTATTTATAGGGAAGATATTTAATTCTCAAATAATATACAAGTGAATAAGGTAATAGAATTCACTCGCAGAAATTCTAATTTCTATTTTATACCCCCATTGTTAAGCGTTGGTTTCTATACGACTGTGCGCTTATACGTGTTATTGGTATTATTGAGAGGTAGAGATACACCGTCCTCGTCGGAATCCGTAGGAATATGGAAATGGGTCTCCCCAATGGATTCCGCCGTGCGATCCATTTCTAATTGGTTGAAAGGCGCAAGCTAACAGAGCTCTAGCTAAAAATGTAAAGTTTAAAAAGTATGTACATCCATCATCTTTATTATCCATCCTAACATAGAGAGCTTCTCTATTAAACACCTACGTCGATACTTAACAGTATAGAAATACGAGTGTCTATAAACCGAAGAAAAGAGTCTTCGAAATAGGGACTTTGTTTTAAAGCTGCAGGAATACTGTCTTAGTCGAATCCCGATACGCCTAAAGGATTCGGATGATTATGAGATCTAAGAAGTCAGGTAAGGTACCTAAGGTAAAATGGTGGTAAAATGGTTGAGCGAGCTTACAATAGTTGTAAGCAGCTAGGTTATCGGGGCTTATCTATGAGGTAGATAAAGCCGTAAGACAAAAGTGACAGGACTGTGGCAGATGTGGCTGATGATGGAAATCTCATTGGAATTAGGTAAGGCTCGATTAGATCGATGTGGCTAGGATCGGTACTCGTCGGGTGTAAGGCCGCCCAAGTTGTATAACCTAAGGCCGCTTTGATTTATCCGTTCGTACCTAGTATGCAACTCCCCACCTACCCCTTGCCGCGGTTTTGGACCTTGGGTGCTTGGGCGGCCTTGTCATCAATTAAATCTACAGTGGAGAGCAACCCTTGTTCAGGGAACTTTGCCAGCTTGGCCAGACCAAAAACCTCCAAAATTAATAAAAGTCCCTACGAAGTTCGTCATTTATTACGACTGCGCCTTCTTTTCCCCTGGAGGTATAAGTTGTTAGTTTGCGCTATATATTTGTAGTGATCGAGGCGACGAGATAATTCACATCGAGCATTGAGGAACGCGAGTATTAGATCTGCCGAAAAGGACAGACTGACGAAACTACCAACAAGTACCTAAAATCTATCCCTGGATCACGATTAAGTCGCGAACTCGAACTCGAACTCGAACTCGAACCCGAACTCAACCCCGAATTAAACCCCTATCTTCAGCTAAACCGACCCTCCTCGAATGGCCACTATTCCTTCTCCTTAAGCTCGGCGAACCATGAGCTCCTTAGTCTTTGTGGTGTCCTCTCTTGAGGCCATCGCTGCATCCAAAGAAGCACAGAGGAATAAACAGCTCGCCGAACTTACCGAGAAGGCTCTCAAGGCTATTAAGGAAGAAGAGACTCAGCTGCCCGACCCTCAGGTCGTCTTCGCGCCTTTGCAATTAGCTACTAAGACTGGAAGTAGTCAATTGATCAATACCGCCCTCGACTGCATACAAAAACTTACATCTTCCTCGTACTTCTCCGTAAATGTCGCCACGGGCAGCGCGCAGGAGGATGGCACGGAGCAGGCTCCTATGATAGATCGTGCTATCGATACGATATGCGACTGTTTTCAGGGCGAGACCACGCCCGTTGACGTCCAGCGACACATCGTCCAGGCCTTGTTGGCCGCTGTGTTGAACGACAAGATCGTCGTGCATGGAGCTGGGTTGCTGAAGGCTGTGCGCCAGGTATATAATGTCTTTTTACTGTCGCGAATTCCAGAAAATCAGCAAGCCGCGCAAGGAACCCTAACCCAGATGGTTGGCATGGTATTCGAGCGGGTCAAGACGAGACTACATATGAAGGAAGCTCGCATTAATCTAGGAACATTGAAGAATAGCTCTAGCAATGTCACCTTTGAACAAGCAGAATCCGTCGCCAATGGAAATGGCGTTACCGCCGAAGAAGAACAGGAGACACCCGATGAGGCGACCACTGGGAGTCTACCTGAGCTTGCACGCTCTCGTTCAACGAACGAAGTCGGACCTAAGTTGACCTTAAAGGACCTCGAGCACCGAAAGAGTTTTGATGATTCAAATCTGGGTGATGGCCCGACTATGGTCACGCAGTTAAAGCCGCCTAGGAAGACGGCAAGGAGGGTTTCCGAACAGACGCAGAGCGACACGACCACTGAGGCGGAAGAAACTGCCGAGTCCCTCGAAGCCGAAGATGAGGTCTACATCCGGGATGCATACCTTGTCTTCCGGTCTTTCTGCAACCTATCAACTAAGGTCTTACCTCCGGACCAGCTTTACGATTACCGAGGCCAACACATGAGATCCAAACTTATTTCACTCCACCTTATCCGTACCCTTTTGAATAACCACATGCTTGTTTTTACTTCGCCCCTATGTACCATCACCAACACAAAAAGTAATGAGGCGACCAGTTTTCTACAGGCCATCAAGTTCTACCTCTGCCTTAGCATCACCCGAAATGGGGCCAGCTCGGTTGATAAGGTGTTCGAGGTCTGCTGTGAAATTTTTTGGTTGATGTTTAAATTCATGCGAGCGCCGTTCAAGGTAAGACTGGTATCCAGTTTATTGATCTCTATTAATCTAACATTGTAACTGTAGAAAGAGATAGAGGTGTTCCTCAACGAGATAT